ATTACACAGTGAACCAATTAAGTTTTTTTTTCTTCCATTATCAAACCTTGTTGCACATGTCTAAACAACTATTCAAACCAAATTGCAGGGTAGCTAAAGAAACGTTTCTCAGGACTAAACACTCACTCATGAGTCATGACAACTGCAATATCACATGGATATGTGTGAGTGGCAAACAGTTAAATGCACTTCTTGATCAAACTGCCCATCTTAGTAGGGTATTCATGTAAAAACAGTGTTATAGACTACACATTTGGGAGACAAACATTGCAGTGTAAACAGATCTGCTGCCTAATGAACAGAAATGTTACAAAGACCAAAAAAAGGAAACCAAAATCTGGCAGAACAAACGTGGCATAAAGGCTCTGCAGTGTTTGACAGCAACCTTTAACATAATAAAATATCCTCTAATATCGCACTGGTCTAATGTGCAAATATAATGAGCAACTTGTATGAAATGACAGTTGGTGCCAATTATTAAAGATGACAAAACTGAGAAACTGCAGTGCGAGTAATTCTAATATTCGCATTCATTTGAGGATTATATTAGTAAGGTTAATTCTCAATAAATGAGGCAGCAGCACACATTATTCTGTCCTACTTAAATAACAATTCATTCATATTACCAGGGTTGTATTAGTTATGAAAACCACAGCGATATCTGAAACTGCTGATCACAGTATGCAGAACATGCCAAGTATTCATGAAATTCACACTTGCCTGTTGTTCACGAGGCACTGACCACTCAAGCCTCCTTGAACCATACACTCATACTGCTGTACTGAACAGAGCTGAAGAAAAACAAGCTTCGGGCTTTTAAGGCTTCAGCACGTAAATAATGCATTTGTGTAAGCATTAATACCTAGAAAGGCTGGGCACAAGATGCTAAAATCCAAATACTCATATTGGTTCCCAAAAACTATAGTAACCTAAACAGCAACTGAAAATGATGCTTTTTCACTTTTTCAACCTTTCGGACAACTAAAACGTTTAAAAATGTTTCACACTTTTTCATGTAACAAAAAATATTTATTTATTTGAGGTGATCAAAGACGCCATAGCTAGATTGATACAGACAAATAATGCAAATGTAAATGCAAATATTTTCAGATAATGCACCATTGAGCACACACACACTCCTAGATCAGAGATTTGAGAGCTGCATATTCATCTTTACATTTGGTAAAAAGTACCAGGAGATTCTAAAGCATTAGTGAAGAAAGCAGAAAAAAAACATGTAATCGGATTCAGCCATAAGTGGCACTCTATTTAAAATCTGACCAAATTAATTTTGCAAATGCCTATAATTGCTGAGATTTAACACAGAGCTCATGAAAAACACTAATATCACCATTTCCTTAGAGAACCACTTTTCAACATCAATCCATTATCAAGTCAACACCAGAGTGGCTCTGATTTAACACAGTTTCTCTGCTTTTAGTGACGTAAAATAGACAAACCCAGAAACAAATATCAATCAGACTTCAGAAATTAATTTTCCTCATATTCACAAATTAATTAGCTGTTCTGAATAATTTAATCATTAAGAACATCACATTAAAAAATACCAAGTATAATTATTTATTTTTTTTAATCACTACACATCTACATCAGAGCAGGATTTCTGTTCTATCTTCTCAAATCGCATAAATAGTAATACATATTATGGGTCAAGAAGTATTTCAATCAATAAACAGCATTCGAAATAAAAATGCAAATGTTTACCTGAGATGTAGTTTCTCTAAACTGGCATCTGCCAGGTCATCGTTAGCCCTCTGGTGTATATCCCGCTGGGTCTCAATCTTATGGTCATCAGACAAGCCGTCTACTTTATGGATGAACACTTCAAAGTTGATCTCTGGGTTGACCCTGTAGGCGCGTGATACTGTTAGGTGGAGTCGACCAAGGGCCTCCACATAGTCATCCTGTGATACAGAGGAAGAATGCAAGATGGTATGAGTTGCCAATGTACAATGTAGAGGTTGGCCAGGTTTAGAGAAAATGCTGTACTTGAAGTTACCAAACAAATTGTAAATTGCAATTTAACAAATTTATAAAACAGAACTATACACATAAATGATGCAAGAATATTTCTTCAAATAGCAGAACTTTAACAGCTCTTCTTGTTTGTTTGTTTGTTTGTTTGTTTGTTTGTGTGTGTGTGTGTGTGTGTGTGTGTGTGTGTGTGTGTGT